CCATGCTCCTCCGGCAAGCTAAGAAAATGTTTATCTCCCTGAGCCTGGCCTTCATAATTCCATTCCATCACAGGTATGCTTCAAGTCCCATCTTGATGAATTGTCATTGTCAGGGATCACAAGGCATGCCTTTTCTGTGATTGTCCCTCTCCTTTGGAACAGCGCTGTACCCAAAGTTAGGTCACCACCATGCCTGTTGTCGTTGAGTAAAGCCCCCCAGGACCTGGCTGTTCTGGAAACTCTGCAATTGATAGGATGGCAGACCTTCCCCTGGCAATGTGTGTCTGTTGTTTTCATGACTTCTTCCTTGTTATGCTAACCAACAGGAATGTCTACTGTTGTTACTGGTTTTTGTTATGTTTTGTTATCCTAACTAAGCAGCATATAAATGGAAGTAATAAATCAGTCAATATGTACTGTAGCTCTCATCACTAGACTGGATGGCCATTTAACCAGGCTAGTTGTAGATGGTGGGAGTACATTTTATGCAAAGTCTTAAAGTGGAAAACAGGCAGAGTGAGGCAATTTACCCTGGTGTTGGCTGCAATTGGCTTGTCATGAACTTTTCACAGTAGCAAACAAAGAGATAAGCTCTGGATAAGCTTCAGTTATTTCACGTTCAGAAAGCTAACTGGATCAGGCAGGATGGATATGAACTGGTTAAAGTGCAACAGTCTACTGCCATGTTTCTCAGCCTTGGCAGCTTTCAGATATGTGGACTTCAACTCCCAGCATTCTGGGAGTTGAAGTCCACACATCTGAAAACTGCCAAGGTTGAGAAACACTGGTCTACTGGGTTATGTTCCCCCATACTTCAAAAAGTATGTTTTCCAAGTATCGGGTAACTTTATAGAACAGCATGTAAACATGGAAAACATAACATTTACATATTTGAACATTTCTGGAAGGTAAATGACCTATAAAACTATATAAAGAAACTTTAAAATGAAATACTTTTAAAAGAATTTTTGAATGAACTATTCTATTCTATTCTATTCTATTCTATTCTATTCTATTCTATTCTATTCTATTCTATTCTGCCAATATTTCTTCTAATAGCTTTGTAGTTATCTGAAGGTACTAAGAAAATTTAAGTTATCAATAATTAACTATGGATAAATGGTTTTTTTGTGAATCTTTTGTTTCAAAAATACCATTCTTTCCAGAACACAAAGTATGGTATCTGCTAATTCTGCCATCTTGGATGGACTGAAGAAAAGAAGAAGCTTTCTCAAGAACTTAGAAGGTATAGAGAAGACTTTACAGAGCAGAAAGACTCTTACCCCAAACTCCTTGCTTCAGTTGACACCAGTGATGAATGTTTAATTTTTCCTCCTTTTTTTAAACAAGTTTTGTGAATCTATTTGTAAATCTATTAATATATTTGCTGTAAATGTCTTAAATTAACACATGTGGTAATATAGGTAAGATGTTGGGTATTTCTTCCATAAAATGTATGAATACTTTGTAATAAACATTTTTACTGTTTTTTTTAATGCTGTATTTGTGATAACAATAAGCTCAAATCTTAGTAATTTCAGGGATGCTTTCTTGGCCCAGTAATGAAGTGGTTTGACTATGCGGATTTTTTTTAAAACAGCCTTTTTTCTACTGTTTTCCTTGTTTATTTACACATTTGGATGTTCATTCAAGCCCAAAAGTGGGGCACGGGGGAACACACCATGTTTTTGAGAGCTAAAAACAACTTTGGAGAGAGAATATTGTATACTGTTTGCTGGTTAGGATTAAATCATTTATTTAACCAAACCTTTTGCAAGTAGGATTAGTGAAAGTACACTTTATGTACCCTAGGAATTTCAAATCATATTCTGGATTTTAGATACACCTAGAATATGTCCAGTTTTTCCTTTTGGTGTATCATGGATACCCTGCTAATCTTCTTCAGAGACATACAGTTATCTCTTGCAATATTCCTAGAGAAAGAAGGAAAAAAAACGTGTGGCTATCACATTAGTTTATGTCAAATATGTTTCTTTTAAAATAAAGGTATACTTATTTAGCAGTGGTGGTTGTTATTATTATTGCATGACCAACAAAAATATATGCTTTCATTCAGATCACATTCCAGACATTTCAGCAGAATATGTTGTTTGGTGGATGAATCACACTTTCCGGTGATAAAATACTGCAAGTTCAGGGCTAAGAATATTCCTGAAATAAAAATATGATTTCATGGGAAAAGTATGAGTAGATGCAAAAAAAGTGGGATTTTTGCTTTAGATATGTACAAATTAAAATATTATTTAGTTTGTGGGTAATATAAAACACCATTTTGTTTATAACAATTGCAAGAACGCTCGTCTGTAACTTAAGGTGAAGTTCAATTTATGTATGTATGTATCAGTTAAGAAGCATTTAAATGAACCTTTGTTAAAGCTGAGTGCTAAGAACTGAACTTTTTAGGACAAGATTTGTTTTAAATAAATCCATTTACAGTCTTCACTGCTTATAGAAAGGAGGCAAACATATTAAGATACATATTTAAGGAATTAAGTAAAACAAACCTCAAATATCCACATATTCAGAATTTTCCAAGGGCCAATATGTCTTTTCAAAAAGTATTCTGAATAAAAATGTTTTAGATTTAGTGGATCAATGTTAGCTCACAAACAACATCTTTTTAAAAATATTTATTGTGATAATACAAGAGAAAGATAAGAATCTGTTACTTGCCTAAGACAGTGGCTTGTCCCTTGTATTTTTCTCTTGTTATGCGGCCCAATTTTGAAATTGTGGAGCTGGCTCTATTTAGGCGCTAGCTAGGACTGCATGGTACAATTTAACACTGTTTGTGATATCTTGTATAAAAAACACACATGCACACACACTTCAATCCCAGGAGACCTAGAGAGGAGGAAAACACCCTTTTTCTGAATCTACATTCTCTTCCACAGCTGCTCTTTGTAAGAGTGACTATTTCAGGCCTTGTTTTAAACTAGGTATGGTTGAACAAGCCATGTTTTACCAGCCATATTTACCCATGGTTAATCACCCATGATTTTCTCAACCCAATTTTGTGGGCTCATACAATGTATTGAACCAGAAATTAACCACACTGCCTGATTTGGCACAAGAAGCTTGTATAGAGATTGGCTAAACTCACATGGATCTGTGAGGAGATGGGGTTGAATAGAAAATTTACTTTTACAGGTAGTCCTCGGTCATTAAGCAAAGTGTTCACTAAGTGAAACCGCAACCATGCTTATGATCTTCAGCTTTCCTTTGCTTTACAGCCTGCCAAGGTCATAAATGCAAAGATTGGTCGCAAAGTTACTTTTACATCACTGTTGTAACTGTGAACAGTCACTGTCAAAGGCAGTCACTAAACAAGGACTACCTGTAGCTTGTGGTTCAGCCTATGGTGTGAAAACAGCCACAGTGGCTTGGTTCAGACATCAGGGCTCATCCACACATTTCATTTGCTGCAGTGCAGACATGCCCCACTAACCATTTCTCACAGTTGTCCTCTCACAACTTGGTCTTTGGGTTGTCTTGCCAGCAGCCCACTAAAAAGGTGGGCAGAAGCCAGTCTAATGTATTCCACCATGAAACCAGTATTTAACTTGCTATCTCAGCAGAAGACCTTCTGGAGGGACCTTCTGGGGCACATGAAGGAGCCATCTTCAGAGATCAGCCATCAGTTGGGCTCCAGTTGGCCTGGCCAGTCTGTTGTGGGGCTGCCCCCCACGGTGGCTGCCAGAGAGCCCAGACACCTCCCTGATGCAGCCTATTCTTTCTTTTTATAGCTCAGATTTGGAAAAACTGCCCTTATGAAATGTGGGTTCCACAGACTCACATGATGGCCTCACCCTCATACACCAACACTGGCTTTCACTGGGGCACCCGGCTTCTTCCTGGCCAGTTTCAACCCCCAGCTAAGGGTTAGGCTCTGAACAGCTCCTTCAAGTCCCAAGTCCACCGGAGCAGAGAAACATAGCCCCTGAGCTGCCAACAAAACAGGATAAGGGATAGCAGAGGAAGGAGCACAGAGCACCTGGCTTGCGCCAACCTTCCTGAATAAACAGAGGAGCAGGAGTTGAGAGAGCTGATGTGTGCGTGTGTGTGCACACGTGCCCGCACTTTTCCCATCCTTGCCACAAGAACAGTGGTTTGGAGGGAAGAGGTTTTGAGGAGAAAATGCTGTGGGAAAGAGAGTGGAAGGGGAAACAGGGCATTTCTATTCACATTTAACAGAGCAGCAGGGGGGCATCTTAGCAGTGTAGATCTCAGGGCTGAAATCGACCACCTACGAAGAGATTGGGGGGGAACCCTGAGCCCCGCCACACCTGCACACAAACACTGGGCAGAGCTTCAATTGCATGGAGATATGTCTCTCTCTCTCCCTACCCACACACACGCACATCCATGGAGAGAGAGAGAGAGATACGCAGACATACATACACACAAACGATACGATTATGAAAACGTAAACCTACCTACCTTCCCATGGAACTTAGGACTCCCGGCTGTGTGAATCGTTTCAACAGGCCAGTGGAAGTGCTAGAAAACCGTCGCAAGCGTTGAGATGCTCCCCCCCGCAAATAAAATCATCCGATAAAAGGTCTCCAGCCTCGGGTAAGACGGTTCCCAGCCTCCCTCGCACCGTGCCAAGCTTGGCAGCGATTCTGCAAACCCTCCGCCTCCTACCTGGCAGGGAGGGCTCCCCGCCTCAAGGCAGCCCCGGCTGAACCCCGGCGGCAGGGACGGGGAGGGCCGCGGCGGCCTCCCGGCGCGCCTTTCGCCTGGGCGGGGCGGAGAGGAGAGGAG